ATGATTAACTCGATATTACGCATTATGAACATCATTCCTGAGAGTAGTAATTTCTGAGGAAGGAGATGGTCCGGGGTGGCGGTCGGAAAAAGACTTTAAATAGTGAAAACCTTTTTTTTTTAACCAACGTTTCGTTCCAGGTCTTCTTCTATTGTATAAATGATTAAATATAGCTCTAATAATTGATGCTCTTAAACGTGGAAGAACGTATTAATATTCAATAACAAAAACGTATTAAAAAAAGTATTCTTAAATCATGTTGAAAATTTTATTTTCCTATATTGATTTTTCTGATTGAAAAATAAATTAAGATTGTGACTGGTATTTTTTTTTTTTGTATCATGGAACTCATTAACTATTTAAAAGAAAATAGTTAATTAAGATTTTGTTTTTTCAAATGCCTTTTGGAACATTATCCATTATAAAGATATTATGGAATAACATTGCATTTTTAATATCTTTTGATTAAACTAAAGGCGTGAAAATCGTTTAACATCAATCCTCTTTTCCTTAAAACGAAAATAGTTGATTGATTAGTTTATAAATACTAAGCCTTGCGGAACGCAGTTTACTGACGTCGAGGAGCTGATTGAATGTTTAAAAACATTAGGTTTTCTTCCTTCCGAGCTATAATTGAAAAAAGCAAAAAAAAAAAAAAACAATTTATAAGGGTTTATATATATATATATATATATATATATATATATATATATATATATATATATATATATATATATATATATATATATATATATATATATATATATATAAACCCTTATAAATTGTTTATATATATATATATATATATATATATATATATATATATATATATATATATATATATATATATATATATATAGCGAGAGAGAGAGAGAGAGAGAGAGAGAGACAGACAGACAGACAGACAGAGAGGGAAATAGAGTGAGAGATAGAGAGAGAAGCAATATATAAATAATTACATGCAACCACAAAGTAAACATATAAGATATGATAAATAATCCTATCAAAAAAACAAACATTATTATTTAAAAACCTCAACATTTTGTTTATTTTTGATAAACGAAAAAAACAACGTAAAGTATGTTTAGAGTGGAAATATTAGAAGTAATAGTAGTGGCTTTAATTAAAATATTATTTTTTTTATTTATTTATTTAGCAGTTTAATAATCTGTCTGGTGGTCAATAATTATAGTGAGATATAAACACATCCACACCATATATATAGAAAACATAAAATTAACAAAAGTAAAATAATAACTAATGATAATCCAACAACTATGTACAATAAAAAAACATCTGGTGTGTCCACTCACACGACTTTCGTACATATTTCAGTTTTTATATCTTTACATAAGTTCATGAAGAAAGAAAAAAGAATTGAACTAGATTTATATTCCTGAAAATTGATCAAAGACAATATTTTAGTACGATTTATTTGATAAATCAAAGCAGACAGACAGACAGACCAACGGCTAAAAATGTGTTTTTCGGACTCAGGAGGTTCTGAAACGTATAGACCCGTCAAAAACCGCATATCGGAAATTTGACCCGATTGCAATACTTTTCTTACCTAGTATACGTAGTAAAGTAGTAAGCTAAAAAATGTGTAAAAATTAAAATAGTTTGTATCATAGCTAATAGTGGTTCGATTCCGATGAATTTTTTTTTTTGTTTTTTTGGTAATTTAATTACCTTTCAAAAGTTCTATCATAAATTTTGCTGTATAATATATACTTAAGGAGTTAGGCCCTATAACATTTTTTTTTTCTTTATAACTTTTTTCCTGTATTTTCTCGGGAATTTAGTCCATATACGAAAATTGAAAGGACAATCATTAGAACACTATAGGAAAGTTTCATCAAAATCGTTAGAGCCGTTTTTGAGATACAGTTTATAGAAAAACGTGTTTTTCATTTATTGCGTGCAAGCTATTTTGCTCATGGAGCACCGAATTTCTGTCACAGGCATCGGTAGTCAAAACCCTACAAAATAAAAAAAGGAGCAACAAAATTGGTTCAGTAGTTCCCGAGAAAATCTTGGAACAGACAGACAAACAGACAGACCAATGCCTAAAAATGTGTTTTTCGGACTCAGGGAGCTACGTACAGACCCGTCGAAAACTGCTTATCGGAAATTTGACCCGATTGCAATACTTTCCTTACCTAGTATAGGGGTATAGTAAATTAAAAACATAAAAACTCAGTCATACATATACGTAATAAAATATTATTAGTTAACATTTCGTAAAATTAAATCACTCAAAAAGTTTAAGAATTTTCTCACGGTGAAATCAGAACATCGTGCGTGGAACTAATGTATAGTTACTATCAATAATATAATTAGTGTTGCCCCAATGCGAGACCAAGACGAGTCTTAGTCTTGCAAACTCAGTCTTCGTCAAGTTGGTCTTGCGCAAGACTCTCGTAACAGTCTTGCAGAGATATTATTGTAATTTTTTAGACATCAGAAACCTAACTAAGTCTGAATGAAAAATTAGAAGAGTTAAATGCAAAAGTATATTAGTTGAACCAATTCTTTACATATAGTAATTAAAATTGACAAGTATTAGTAACTATTTTGCCTAAATTTTTATTCAAAAAATCGATTGTTTTTATCAGTGTTGGTCTAGGTCTTGTAAAGTGCACGACCAAGACCGATTTTGGACAACACTAAATATAATATTAAGCATCAAATATAGATTTGATGTTTAATCAGATTTATGTCGCTCGAATGTTTTTATTGATAAATGTGTTAAAATTCATAGTAAAGTACCTAAAAACCAACCGACTGGGAACAAAATACAAACAATGGACAACATTTATTAATTTTAAATAAAATTCAATACTTTTAATGCAATATTATCGAGTTATATTAAGTAAAATTTACATATAAAAGTTTTTTGGGGGGGAAAATGATCAAGTTCTATATTATTTTAAGCAGATGTATTTTCTTTAATTAAACACAAATCAAAGACAAGAAATGTAAACGAAAATATTAATTATTTACAAAGGGAGAAAAATCACGTTTGTATTGGAATATGATTAGTTGCCATGTATAATATAAGTCCAAATTGTAAATAATATGTTTATTTTTTTTTTTTGACGTGTTATGTCAGGTAAGTTTTCACCAGCCGTGGATCTTTGGATTTTTAAATACAAATTGATAAAATCTATTTTTAATTAGCTTATCATTATTGTAAAAACAATAATACTATATATAAATTATTTGTTCGTTTAATTATGTGTTGCAGGAGCATAATTCATCATTATACCATAACTGATCAGTTCGATGAAATGCCGTAATACCCAATTTGGTGTTCAAATTAGGGCCTTTGTCTTCTAAATTAGTTTGAGAGGATTGGGAGCAATGAATAGGTATGTTCAAATCAATTCATTATTTAATCACCAAATAATTTATTGTACTATATATATATATAATAATTTATTGTATTTAAATTGCACTGAGACTATCACAATAAAATTGAGGTAATTAAATTAATTTTATAATAATATTTATCAACACTCAACGGGAAAGGCCAGGCACAGATAATGAGAGATATATAAAAGGTATTTCCCTCGGATAATATTATTCATTATTTTCTATAAAGAAATATTACAAAATAATTTTACTATTTCATCACAAATCACATTAACGAATATCTATTCTATTACCATTTGGTCACTGGCCCATATACCTTGTGAATTATTAAAAAATAATAGATTTTTTCATTTTTCTTATTTGTTCATTGTTTTTTTTTTCTAATTGTTGAATGTTTTTTTATTAGACAAAAATGGGTTACATTTTTTGTTTTTTATTTTTTTATATTATTACCCGAAATGTTTTTTTTTTGGTTTAGGTTAGCTTACGAGTTGTCTTAGGCATCTTATTAAAACTTCAGACATAGGTAGAATTTTTTTTTAAGAGTAATCTTATGAGAAAATTATAAAGGAAAGCTTGTATGATTATGAGAGTATGAATTTTTTTTTACTGTGAAGATGAAATCATAAACTATTCTGACTAGGAACATAATACTGACACCGAACAACAAAAAAATTATGAAAAGCAAACTAGTTCTGAAGATGAGATGGAGAAATATTTTTTCAATGGAAAAAAAAATTATTTGCAAGGCACATTCGAAACATGTGATAAAATTTGTAAATTGTAAAAACCTTATAATAATTTTCTTTATTATATATATATATATATATATATATATATATATATATATATATATATATATTATATATATATATATATATATATATATCAATATTCCATAAGCGATTTTCGCAATATAAATTTAAAAAATAGTATTACTTCATATCCATAATATCATTAAAAATAATATAAATTGATGTTAATATATAATATTTCAGATTAGTGGTTATATGACTTGTCTTATTTTTATTTATTTATTTTAGTAGCTTATTACTTTGTCTTTTTTTTTCTTTCCTATATTTTATTGAAACAGGGCTTAGACTATGTTCGTATATTTTACATCGCTCTCCCCATCACTTACCATGCATTACTGAATGAGCAGTTCTGTGAAGTTAAATGATGAAAGGGCTTCTTTACTTTTTTTTTCAATTGTTTATCTAATTATAATGAGGCTAAAAAACGACAAAATATTACTATATCCATATTATTTAAGTATAAAAAAAAAATATCTGGATACTCTTATTTGTGGCATAGTAAATGCCAGCAAGAGATTTTTTGTCCCATCTAATGTTTGTTTGCAGGCTGTGCAGATTTCAACTATGGATAGTTTTCTACTAATAAGCTAAAGAAAATTATAATGATCGACAAAATCAACCGTTTGTCCGGTGTAGTGTTAATTATTTTCAATAATGAACTATTAAAAGCAAATTAATCGTCCTCGCCTAATATACTACGTTTATTTGTTCCACTAACCAATATAATACTAAAATTTTTAATGAATTGCTTCTACCTGCATATGTATATTGAAGAAAACATAAATTGGAGTGAATTTGAATTCTTACCTGAGGAAGAGCACAGATGAATGAGAAGATCCAAGCAATGAGGAGCATGATCTTGCCCCGTCGCCTCGCGTCGTTCACTCTTAGCGGATGCAGAATAGCGAAATACCGATCTACCGAAACACAAACCAGGACGTTGGAGGAAAGGTAAAGTCCGAACGCCCGAAGGAACAACAAGAATTTGCAAGCTATATTCCCTGCCAACCATTGGATGGTGATCCGCCAACCGATCTCTAAGGGTATCATGATGAAGGTCACGCAGAGATCGGCCACACTCAGGTGAGTGATCATCAAGGATATCCTGCTCTTCCTGTGTCTTCCCCGGACGAGAGTGATGAAGACGGTGAGGTTCCCGATGGCGGCGATGACGAAGAGGATGCTGTAGACGATAATGACGACCAGGTGATTGTTGTTGAATTTTAAATCTTTGGGAAGCTCGGGGATGGTCGTGTTGTTGGCGAAGCCGAAGAGCGTCGAGTTGTCGAGGCACATCCTCGCGCGTTGGCCGCACGACTCGGCGAATTCGCCACCCCCACGCATGCTCGCCCCTCCATTCACCGCCTCCGCCACCTGTTGAGCTGTCTTCTCTTTGATAACTGCTCCACTGATAACAGACTGTCTGCTGATGGAATATAATTAATTCACCAGAAAAAAAAATATAACACAATAGATTTGACATCAAGCAATTTGGTTAATTAAAAATTAAATTTTACAAACATCAGAAATTCATGGATCATTGCACTTATTAAAAGTTTAACGACACTTACTACAAATTCAGACATGTCATTAAAACTCCAAAGCTCAGCCTCAGAAAAAAAGAAATCAAAATTTAGATATAACAAGTTATCATATATCTAATGTTTAAAATACAATATAATATATAATACAGAGAATTGATCTCTTTGAACTATACAAAACTGTATATTCTTCGAAAAAAAGGAAAGAGGATTAATTTTGTTATTTTTTAATTGGTAACAATTATCAAACAAGAGAGAAATACTTTATTTAAAGCAGTGCTGCCCTACTATATATGGGGTGCTCGATACACAACATACTCATCAATCCTTTTTTTTTTTTTTTGACACTTAATTATACTTAATCATTTGTTTTTATATATACAAATTCTTATTTATAATACACAGCACAATATCAATTTGTAGAGAAAAAAAATAATAAAAAAAAATATTGTATTCGAATGCGAAAGTTTTAAAACCAGAAAATTAGAGCGCACACACAGCAAGTAACATAGTCATATGAACGTAGACAAAAAGATATGGTCACTTAAATAATTTAAAATTTAATACATAGATATTAATTTATTTATAAACACAATCTGCTGTGCCCACTCACACGACTTTCCTGCCTGTTATTATATCTTTACATATGCTCATGAAGAAACAAAAAAGAATGGAACTAGATTTATTTTCCTGAAAATTGATCAAAGAAAAGATCTGAGTACGATTTATTTAATAAACTAAAGAAATGTAAACCGGCTTAAGGTAGATCAGTGTAAAAATTTCAATACTCACTAATATTGCTGATCAAAAACTTTTTTCCATAGCTTAGTATTGTCAAACAATAATTTCTGTTAAAAGTAGTGGAAATAATGAAGATTGTGTGATGAGGGCAACAGATTTTCTTACTTTTACTTAGTCATCTTTATTCTCTCATTCACCACTTTCTGACACCAGGATAAGAACCTGTAATCTTACATTGGAAATTGAATAGCTGTAACTCAGTTAATATTTGTCCAAAATGAACCATTTTTATATAGTTTTGAAGGGAAATTCTATTACCGATTATATAGTTAGCACCGAATTTCTGTCACAGGCATCAGTAGTCAAAACCCTACAAAATAAAAAAAAGAAGCAATAAAATTGGTTCAGTAGTTCCCGAGAAAATCTAGGTACAGACAGACAGACCAATGGCCAAAAAATGTGTTTTTCGGACTCAGGAGGCTCTGAAATGTATAGATCCGTCGAAAAACGCATATCGGAAATTTGACCCGATTGCAATACTTTCCTTACCTAGTATAGGTAGGAAAGTGAAAAAAAAAATGTAATTTGGTGGAAACAAAATCAAAGTATTTGGGCGATGATAACCATTGAAGTTTTTCTTCCTTAATACTAACATTTAAAAAATAAATAGCAACAACCAAATGTTTACATAATGATTATTTAAATATATGTAAGTATGTAAACTTTTGAAATGTTGAAGAACAAATATTGAACTTATTTTCCTAACATTTTTGTACCTCTGATACCACTAGCGGTTAGCCAATTGATCTGTTGGTGGAGGTCAATAAATAAATATATAAATTGTGGGTTAATGATTGACCGTGGTGAATAATGAAGAGAAGAATGATTGGGGTGATCAATCAGAAATAAGAAGGCAAAAAAAATAATAATATTTATTTTGACATTTGCCGACGCTTCGACCTGAAGTTCAGGCTAGTAGAACGTAGAAATTTTTATTTGCTTATTTTCTTTTTGTTTATTACTTAGGTCCATATCTTAAAATACCTTTTTCTTTTTGTTAATTATAACAATCTGTCACGTGAACAATAGATTATAGTGATACATGAACACATTCACGCCATATGTACAGAAAATATAAAATTAACAAAAGTAAAATAATAATCAAAAACTATGTACAATAAACAAAAAAAATAACCAAAACATAAGTAAATTAAAAAACATAAAAACACAGTCATATCTATATACAATATATACAATTAGGCAGTGAACTTCAAGTCAGGCTTCTCCCTCAACTATAGAAGGAAAAGCAGGACTCCAAGAGATCCATGCGCTACTCTCTCAACCGCGTCACAGGTTAATATACTTTAGATATACTTTTTATTTTATATTTATTCACGGAGAAGTTTAAATAAAAAAAATAAAAAAACTTTGGTCAAAATTAAAATTTCCAATATCCTTTTGAGTTTTAGATATCAAGGAACTGATTTGACGTGCTGATTAAAAATACTAGACATTTCTAAATATAAAAAAAAAATTAAATAACTTAGCCTTTAATTATTCACTAAGTATAATTAAGTGTTAAATAATATACTATTCTCACTAACAACAATGGCCAACAAATCACGTACAATTTTCTACTAATAATACAAGATTAATTTCTAACTATGGTCGTTAAAAAACCATTGCTCAGCCCCCGGAAGCCGTAACCGTATTTCAGCAAGCCACTTCCGCCTATCCTTCCTTTCTTCTCTCGAGTAGGGAATACTGAGGTCCTGGTTTTTGGAAAAATGGAAGGAAAATGCTTTTAAATATTTAGTGGTTGGTTCTGATTCAGAGTTTCCCGCTTAACCGATTCTCATATTTAACTGAAACGAAAATCTGGTGCGCGCAACACACATCTTTCACTTAACGCTCTACTTGAATATAAATTATTTTCTACCAATGTTGAGCTATTAAAAAAATTGCATTTTCAACCGATCTAAAGCTTAAATCTTACTGTTAACAAATCATTAATATCATTAAATAACAAAAATCCTATTTATTATATCGACGGTTGATTACGGACTGTACTTTTATTAATCAATAATCGTTTTTTTTTTCTATTTCAAATTTTACTTAAATGGAATTAAGTGATTTGCATTGCCTGGTAAGTGGATACTATTGTGATATCACAAAGGGAAAATTCATCAAATTATTCACTACTTTAATTTTCTAAAAGTTTACATGATTTTTCAGAATTAACGATAGATACCTAATCATTTAAATATATTATCAAATGTAGAGTTATTAAACTACAGTAAATGTATTTAAGGTTACATATCTATGATATATAATATAATTGATTGGCAAATTAAATATATTTGATTGGAAATATATTTGATTTGGCAATAATTAAGTATAATTGATTGGCACCAAATCAATTCTTTCACACAAATACAATGACATAGTATTTTAAACAATATCCTTTTTCAAACTTCATTCATCAAAGTACATCATTCCTGAGAGCCGGAAAAGGGATCGGTGCGGCAAAAAACTGTCGTGTTATATTATAAAGATAATTTTTGGAGTTCACAAAGAGAAATTTCATCAAATTATTCATTAATTTAATTTTCCCCGAAGGCCACATGGCCACATTTTTCGGAATAAACGGACGTTGATACCTAATTATTTAAATATAATATCAGATATAGAATTATTAAACTACACTAAATGCATTTAAGGTTAAAAACATATACTTTATACATCCATGAAATATTTTTATATTTCACTTCATCTTTCACGCAAATAAAATGAAATAGTTTTTTTAAACAGTATCATTGAATCGGTAGATTTTAAGTATTTTTTTTTAACTTAAATTTTGTTTAAAAGTTTACATTTAGTAAACTAAAAACTATTCTTTTTTCTTAGAACCCTGCCCAGGAATCGCATCTTCATGGTCTAAATTAAATTAAATTATGTTTCTATTAGATAGCCTATTATTTATAAATTGTGCAATTATGTATATATAGATATGTAATTAATTTTCTGTCTTTTCTTTTTTTTTTAACGTAATAATAAGTTACGTTCATTTATATATGTATGCATGTGTATGTATGTATATATATGAGTATGTGTGTGTATGTATATATATGTGCCTGTGCTTATTTTTTTTGTTTATTTCTTATTGATTACATACTACTTTTTAAATAATGTATATTATGTTAGAATTTTTTTAAGTTAGTTTTTGGCCAGATTGGTATTTTATTTTGTATTAATTCATGTTTGTTATTCTAAGGGGACTTAGTCCCAGAATAAAGTTCTATTTTCTATTCTATTCTATTCTATTCTATTCTAAATCTGACTTCTTTATTTCATGATTAATATCCATGATTGACTGCATTAGGTCATTACAGAAAGGAGGGTGTTTGTGTATATTTAGTCTCCTTGCTCACTTATTAATTTTTTTTATAGCGTCAAAGTACTTTTTTTTTTTTTATTTCTCCGTCAACCCATCCATTCTCATTTATGTAGGTACCAAGGTACTTAAAATCTTTCACTTATTGTACTCCATTGAACTCAACTAATCTGTAGCCTCAACCTTCTTTCATATCAATTCTCATAGTTTTTTTTTTACCCACATTCATACGTACATTTATTTTATATAATTATTTTTGAAAAATGTGGAAATTGAATTAATAAGGTTTCCAAAAACTACTGAATCATCTGCATAAGCGAACAGAGAAAAAATAATAGGTTCGAGTGTTGTTTTATTGTGTCCTTTTGCTGTTTTTATTGCGCTGTACTTTCACTAGCATAATTAGTAAAATACTTAGACTACACCATTCCCTGATACCTTGTTTAGTTGTGAACTATTTTGGTTTTCTTTAATTTATATTTTTCTAAATGAAAAACAAAAATAATGTTTTTGTACAATCAGAACAATAAATACAAGTTTTTGCTGCACATTTTGGTATTTAAAAAAAAAATAGCACTGTTAAAATATTTTCCGCGTGGTTGCTAGAAGGTAGGTAGGTACCTAGGGTGATTCTACGGACACTGTTGAAATGCCCTGGAATCTGCTAA